TACTGGAAATATACTTCATGATTTATTTAAAACCTTTATTTAAAGGACAAAAAACCCAAAGTGATTTCACTGATAATCTTCACAAAGGGACACCTGACACACAGTTCCAAGGGAGGTTCCTCAATTAGCAGGTTATCTGGTAACAGGCTACGGTATCGCGATGAGTATGAAAGGTATGAAAGGAGCTTTTATGAAAGGAATAAAGACAGCGCGGCCCAACAGGGATGTGCTGTCGCTTCTTAGGTCCGTGTTGAACTTTACAGACGACGCCAAAGAACAAAGAGCTGTCATCAGCTACGGTTAATGTTGTGACAGGACACGGCGAAACAAGAGAGGCATCAGGGTAAAGGTTAAGGTCAAAGGTCACTGCTGGATGCAAGTGATCGTCAAGCCCGAAGGAAGAACTGCTGTAGCGTTGGACAGAGACCAAGAAAACAAGATCCCTGAGACCAAGTCATCCACTGGAGTGTGACACAGGTATTCAGTTCTACATCATGGTTTGAAAAAAAAAGTTTTGTTTCTTACCGTATAATATGGGCTTTCTTAAAAAGAACGTATCCTGATAGGTATCCAATACCCAATCGATCAACTTATTGAGTGACACACGTAAACAGCGACACCTCTGCCTCAGCAATGAAAAGATAAAATAAAAAAAAGTACCGCATTGAGATCCAGATCGGCAGATACTTCACGTTGCAGTATCGGTATCTGATATGAAAAACAAGTTATGAGGAAAAGCATGTTCATGTAAAAATTTGAATGATTATCCAAAACACTGTTGCCTGTTTTTTTATGTCAAAATAATGATGAGTTCGAACAAAGGTCGAAATGCTTTCAAAAAGTTTTCATTAACGCGTCCGTACGTGGCACCAGGTCTGAGACAATCGGCTCATTGATGCAGGAAACGGAGATGGCTGGTTTGGCTGTCTAACCATATCAACTAAAAGCTTCAAACAGGAAGTGTGTGTGCGCTCCCAGCCTTACAGTGAAACTACAGATGCTTCACCCATTCAGTCGAGAGATTACCTCATCAACGACCGAAATGTGTAATGAGGATGAGTCACACTTTATCCACGGGAGAAGAGACAGACAGACGGACGGACGGACGTCGAGCCGCGAGTGCAATATTGTCCTTGGAGGACGGACGGACGTTGAGCCGCGAGTGCAATATTGTCCTTGGATACAGTGAACACACGCGCTGTGTCTATAATAACACTCCAAGGAACATGTGACTAATGATAACAGGTAGAGAATTAACTAGCCAACGGGATGATGATTTTTTTTTTATGCATTTAAGACAAAGACGCACGAGAAAACAATCGTAATAATAACCAGTCGTATGATATACGAGAAAATCGTAATAATAACCAGTCGTATGATAACTTTTAAAACATGTTTTAAAAGTCATGTGAATATGAGTATTGTGAAAGTGGAACAGTACTGTACAGAGCAGTAAAATTATACTACTGTACATAGACTGTGTTCCAAGGTCATAACACATGGTAGCTGCTATAAACCCTTTATTTCATTTGTATCTTGATCTTTTAATTTTAATTTACCTGTACACACATGGATTAATAAAGTTTTCTTAATCTAAAAAAAAAAGTCAAATGTAACTCAAATAAAATTCTTAATCTAAAAAAAGTCAAATGTAACTCAAATAAAGACACTTTAAAATGTAGTATATAGTAATTTAGCATATCAATAAATGTAAACTTGCACAGTTTTTTTTTTGTCTTCTCTGCAGGTTTGTCGATATTTAAGTGATGACAAAAAATGAGAATTTAGGGGAAAAACTGAGCCCAGAGTGAATGTTGTATGATTCATAGCTTCCTCCACGCCTAAAATATTCATCCGTGTCTCACGTCAAGGCTTGAACTTCAGGGCAGAATCATTATTTACTTACAATTACAGATATTTGTAAGAGTTGACTCACCGGGTGTTTAATTTTACTGAAATAACTTGTCCAACTTCTGTAACTTTTAACCATCCCATTACTTGTACACATATGTACATATAAAGAAAAAGAAAATAAAATAATTTTTTTTTTTTAATTTATAAAAAAAAAAAGTGACACAAGGCTGTTAAAGCCTCGCCTGCGTTAGCATGTGCTAACACTTATCGCCCTGTGCTATCGCTGTCGCTCTTGACCATTTTCTAAACTACCCTGGAGCCCGAGGCACCGTGTGGTAGAAACGGATACTAAGCCGACAATACAGATAGAGACGCCGGTACTGGTTTACCACCTGTACCGAGAGCCCACCACCGCCGCCGCCGCAGCCCCGCACTGTCTGACAGGCTCGCCTGGCTGCTGGGCTGCCACCTCGTATCACGGCTCCAGTCCCTTTCTTCTATCACACTAGCTTAGCTTGGGCTAAGCTAACAACTAGAGCATACGATCGCCTCACAGTTCGCTCACACACACGAAACGACACTGAATAGGAAGTGACACAAACCTTAATGTGACGCGGATGATAGAGAAATCCCTTTTTTTTTTTTTTTTTTTTTTTAATTTTCAGTCCATTCACCAGTCGCGGCAGACATGCAGACAGACTTACGGCGTCCTGTGGTAAAGATACACACCGACGCTGTGAAGAAAAGACTCGTAGTACACGCCCTTGACGACGAGGATTGGAGTCCACGTTTCCCTCGTTTCCCGCTCGCGGCACGTGATTGGACCGCACGCGCGCTCGAGCTCATCGATGAATCAGACGATTGGTTATCTGTCGTACCGTTGTTTCTCAATGTGCTGATGTGCTCGCCTTAGCTACACTTTGTCTCTAGGCGCCGCGGAAACAGGCACAGGTTTTAGACTAGTGTTTCTCAACGTCTGACTCGCGGGTCCGTTAATGGTCCTCAGCCAAAATCTAGGTGGAACTATTTCGTTATTAACTTTATTATTATTATTCTTGTCTCCTTTTTAGCATCTTAAAGTTCAAAATATCCTGTCAGTCGGCCACGAACACAACTAACGTACGATCGAAAGTCCAAAAGTTTTAAGACGTTATTTATTTGATGGTGTTTTTCCAAAACCTACAGAACGACCATACATCAAATCTTTGACCTGTTCAAATGAATAAAGTTTTATAACAGGTTTTGATCTCTGTACATCTGTTTTTTTCATTCTTTTTTTTCTTCCTTTTTTATTACATCTATTCCCAAAACTGCAGGATTGAAAGGAAGTGAATTTCAGTCCAATATCTGCAGACAGAGAGAATTCTCAGATGAAAAAAAAAAAAACCACACAACTGCAGAAGCGTTCTACTGAGATGGAGAGGATCTTGTGAAATAATTCTGGTATTTTTTATAAATACATTTTTTCTTCTTCTTCTTCTTTTTTTTTTTTTACCAGAATCTGGACGTACTCTGATTGGACAGGACGAGGGAGAGCTTTGTTGGCTCAGTCCACTAACACCAAACCACCTGCAGCTGCTCTCCTATAATAAAACATTCATTACATCCTTATTTGCTCCACACACTTTGGCCCAATTCATTTCACTGGTTTTGTAATCGGCTCCTATAAAGACGCTGGTAGGAAAACCCAATATTGTTTAGACATTATATTAAAAATGTCTAATGCATAAGCCTCACGTTCCAGGAAAAAAAAACAATATTGTTTAGACATTTTAATAAAAAATGTCTAATGCATAAGCCTCACGTGTAAACCCAATAAAAACAGCCTGTTTATGAGACATAATAATTACATATAGAACATATAAGTGCGCTGAAGGCGGGAGTCGTTTTTTTCTACCTGTAAAATCATCTGCAGGAAACAGGATTAAAAAAAAAACCTTGTAAGTGTTACCTTTTATTTCCATTAGATTGAAAAAATTCTAAAAATAGACAACTTCAGAAAGGCGGGAAAAAAAGAGGAAAGAAACGTATGTGATAAATCAAATGAGGCAGAAGGCCGTTATACAAGAATAGTCTGGTCTGAATCGTCAGGATCCATCACGGACTCCTCTCAGAAATGCCCCCACACCCTCCTGACAGACACATTTGTGGGAAGATCATAAATACGCTGTATGCCAGTCAGACTAAAAATATCCCCGTGGGTGAAGAGTCTCTAAGAAGGAAAAAAAATAAAAAAATAAAAACCCACTCCACGGCCACTTGGTCTGTCAGAGAAGAATATAAATAAATGACTCAGAACAACCGGCCATCCCTGTCTGGTGTATCTAGTTCTAGATCTGTGAGGAACATCATGAACAACATGAACGTCGTTATGATGATGATGAACGTGTGCGTCTTGGTTTAGGTCCAAGATTTGAAACTTTTGCTTAAACATATAGTAATTAATGTTTAATTATTATAGAGTGATTTAGTCGTCTATACTTTCCTCCCTGATACTCTTGACGGAGGTGGGAGGGGCCGTGACTCGGTAACTAATCCCGTTCAGGGTGATGTTACACCCTGGAAGATTCACCTGCTCGTCACGTGTGTTCAGTCAGAGCAGCCAATCACAGACGGCCGCTGACTGTCTTACATAACACCTGGACCCGTCCTGCAGCTCCTGTTCTCTACACCAGGTGCACTGGTGAAAGGATGGAGCGATTCATCTCCTAACCCCCGACAGCAGGGGGAGAAAACCAGGCATTGTCCAGTCAACGCTGACCATCAGGGTTCTGGTTTTTTTTGCTTGAGATTTAAGAGGGACTGAAGTTTTTTTATTTTTTCTGAAGGACAGACGAACCTTTTCAAACTTTTTCAACTAAAGGATTTTTGAATTTTTTCTGAAGGACAGACAAACCTTTTCAAACTTTTTCAACTAAAGTAAAAGCTGATTTTGTGATGATACGTTTGCATTAAAGTATGAGCAGTATTTCAGTCAAAAAGTTGTTAAATCTGAGTCAAATCTGCAGTTTTACTTCAGTGAAATACTGCAGTATTCTTTAGCAAAAAATTAAATATATATATAAAATATACAGACTGTGATCCAGGCCGCAGTGAAACTGCAGACATTTATCAAGACTTATCACGTTCTAATAATATTCTTTGCAGTATTACTCCCTCCCACCTGTCCTGTCACTGGTACTCACTGGTGTTGGAGCTGTAGCTGTAGCCGATGGCGGTGGTGGTGGGTGGTGGAGAGTCCGAGGTGACGGACGCCGTGTCTTCATCCTGGGAACAGCCCGCCTGGATGGCCCGCAGGTAACTGTGGCTGCGCGACCGGAAGCACGTGGGAGCCGGCAGGTCCAGAGCCTCCACCGCCTGGGACTCCACCTCGCAGTACTGCACCGAGTACACACAGCCCTGCCTGCATACCTGAAAGACGGTGTACGGGCTCACAGGGCGAGGACAGACGGTGGAAGACGAACGACACTTCACAGGTGACCTTTCACCTGGATTCTAACAACCCTGATGGATTCCTGTGTCTTTACCTTTAAATGATAATGAGCCTGGATGGATTCCAGTGTCTTTACCTTTAAATGATAATGAGCCACTACATGCTCCGCCCACATCATGGCTGACCTCCCTGACAGAAGGTCAAGTACAGCAGCGGTCCTCAAACCTCCTGTTGTACCAAGGACCGGTCGGTAACCAGTAATACCACGCCATCTTTGAAGGATCATTAAGTCTTTTAGTCTTTCTCTTGTTCAAAGTATCAAAGTCTGAGTGACCTTTGACCTCTTGTTTTGAAACATTGACAGATTATCTTTCAATGAAGAAAGTAAAAGGGATATGACTGGATTCTTTTGGAATGAAGTAAATTAATAAAATTGAAGTACATTTTTTCACACTGCGGCCCTGTACCGAATGACCTACGGACCAGCACTGGTCCCCAGACCGGGGGTTGGAACCCCTGATCTACAGTGGGGTACTCTACACCACCATGACCTCACGAGCAGTAACAGTGTTTAGATCTTAATATTCTTCACATCCAAAAACATTAAGGTTGACTAATAATTTTAGTTTTAGATTTAGGGTCGGAAAAAAACTTTATTTTTGTTTTCTTTAGCTTCTTCTCAGCTTTATTATAAAGTCATAGTTTTAACCATGGTTAGTTCTTCATCAGGTTTGAGGGATGAACTAGAACCAAGTCCAGCAGCTAATCCGTCCATTTATAGTAAACAGTTAAACTTAATCCTGCGACTTTTCACCTTCATTTACATAGTATGTTATTCATCATTTCAACCTGCTGTTCACCTGTCATTAACCTAATATTAACTAACATCATCATCATCATCATCATCATCATCATCATCATCATCTGTCCGATGTCTACCAGAAGCTTTAAGTTGCTGTACACTGTGTCCACGCCCCTTATGTTTGGTGAACCTCCATGAGCTTTTTTCCCACGGACTCACTCGTCCGTTTCACATTCGTGATCAAACCCGCGGTCATACCTGAGAGTCGGAGCCTCTGCCCAACGTGCCCGAGCATTGGCTGTAGTCGTTGTTCCTGTGGCGCGGGGGGGCCTCCAGCGGGCTCACCAGACAGTCCAAGTTATCCAGGCTCCGATTGGTCGACAGCTCCTTCAAGGACGGCAGGGAGCTGTAGAAGGAGACAATAATAATCAGAGTCTTGGAAGTGGAGCCGTGGGATGAGTGAGCGCTGAGTTTAATTAATGATATTCAGGAGGAATTTGAATGTACTCCAAAAAGCTCCCCTGGGTATATTCAAATTAAATACAACTGGGATGTGTGGGTAGTGTTGTGTAAAGGTGTAGAAGAGCAGCACAAAGGAAACAATTGCTTCTGAATGAATCTGCTCAATAAGATTGTTTTTTTATTTTGTTTTTTTTTTAAATTCACGTTTGGACTGAATCCAAGAAACGCGGACAGTTTCCTCTGTTCTGGTTTGTCCTCGTGGCACCCGGAGGAGAGAGAGGGAGGGCGGGGGTGTGAGGGCAGATGTGTGTGCACCGGGGGTGTTTGGGTGATTTCCATGGAGAGTTTTTGCATGTCGGGAGATTAGGGCTGGAGGAAGAAGGAAGGAGTTCCTGTTGGGGACGGTGGATGGAGCAGGAAGCAGAGAGGGAGGAGCGCTGCGAGCGTTAGACAAAGAGGAGGTGCGTCATGCTTGTGGTAGGTGATGGTGGTTAAAGGGTCCATGATGCCCGCCTGGAGAAGGGGGCGGGGGTGACACTGACCTCAGATGCTGCATTGAGCATGCACTTTGCAGAGGAGACCACAGATAATCCTTCCGCATGAGAGCGTAGTAACGAGGCCTGTCCGTTTGGATGTAAAACACAACATTTCACCTCCGGTTGTTTTTGTCATAAACGAGGACATTACTGTGTCTCCTGTCTCAACAACAAGTCTGCACCTTCACTCTGACCACCCTGCTGACCTGACCCACTGCTTTAGTGCCACCGTATAAGAGTGACACGCTGCTGCCACCTGCTGACAAACTAGGGGAACACAGTGTAGAGCTCCTTCAGTGTTGGCTTTTTTTTTCTTTTTTCTTTTATTTTAAGATGAACTGAAAAAAAAGTCCGTGTGACATTTAGGTCTGTGGGAATATTCTTATATTTCTCTGTGCTGTGCCACTCACTTGCTTATTCTGATTTCTCTGTGCTGTGCCACTCACTTGCGTGGAGGAGGCGGGGCCTGCTGCTCGCTCAGGGAGCGCTGAGTCGCCTTCAGGTAGCTTTGGCGACGGGCTGCAGATTTGGGGGAGGGTTTTGGACTCCCCTCTGACTCCTCACTGTCCTCCAGGTCCCCCATAGCTTTGACGTAGCTGCCACTACGCATCCTCCGACAGGGAATCTCCGTCCCTCTGACCTGGCCGCGACCCAAAGTTCCCGCCCATTCACCCAACGGGACCTGGATAAAAACATTAGCGACAACATAGTGACGCTTTAAAACTTTTAAATGTACATTTAAGAAGTTTATTTATTCCTAATTTGTTTTATGGTTGATAAAAAATATCCAAAGCGTGACACGTGAAGCAGAAGTAAAATATTTTCAAAAATACGAATTTAAAGGGAAAAGTATAAAAATCATAAAACATGAACGTAAACTCATTAGCGAAATCATAATCAAAACTAGCAAATCATTTGGATATTCCCGGTGCAGAACTTACAAAACCATGGAGATGAGGAGATGAATACTCACTGGCCCTCCTACCTGGAGAAACTGCTGAGTCATGTCTGGGTGACATGACTTGGTTTTCAGTAGAGTCCTGTTGACTGTAGCAGAACCCTTCTGTAACACTTGCCTGGCCTGGCTGAGGGTCAGCGTGGACCACGAGCCCCTCTTCACCACCGTATCGTCCTTGCTCCCTTTAGTTCTTCCCTCTGCGTCCTTGCATCCTACCTGTGTCGCCTGGCAGGCCAGGAACTTGAGGTCGCTGCTGCTTTTGGAGGCCTTGAGAGAATGTGCAGAAATGGTGTTGTAGCCCTGTGGGATGTGTCTGGGAGCGGCCTGGCTGTCCGACACAGCCCTGCCCAGAGTCATCATGCTCAGCGGGTTGCGGTAACCTACGGCGATAGTGCCGGCCTTGTTGGCGTCTGAGTCCAAAGCGTCGTCCGAGCTCCACAGCCCCAGAGAATGGGGCCTGGGTCGCACCTTGGGCCCCTCGGTTTTAGCCCTGTCTTTACTCTTGCTTCTGCGCGTCGGTCTACCACCGCCACCGTCGTCGGAAGCTCCCGAACTCCCGATCACGCTCCCCGAGGAACGCCCATTTAAGCTGCCTTTGACTGCAGAGTTTTCCAAGGACTGGGACTTGGCAAACAGCTTCTGCACCGAGTGCATCAGGTGCCGTATGCGTCCGGGACTCTCGCTGCGCTGCTTGGACATCCGTCCCCTGTGGAACTGCAGCGTGCTGAAGCCGTCGCGGTGCAGCGGCAGGTGTCGTTCCAGCTGATCCAGAAGGTTGCTGGGCAGACGGTTCATCTTGGCCGCTGCCGCGGAGGAGATGGTCGCCGAGCCGCTGGTGATCATGGGCGCACCGGTGAGGCCCAGACCTAAACCCATGCCCATAGATAAGGAGTTGGTGAGGGTCCCCGACCGGCTGCCCTGTCCGGTGCCACCCCCGGCCAAACAGCCCTGGCCATAGTCGACCTGGTCCGACTGGGCGGTGAAGTGCAGACGGGGGAACGTGCTGCTGTTGGACATCTGGCTGAGGGGCAGCAGGTACTCGGGGGTCAGGCTGGTGGGGCTGGTGGGGGTGCAGTGGTGAAGGTGTTGGTCCAGGGTGCCGTAGTGGTTTATGGTGGGACTCAACAGGAAGGAGCCGTGGGGGTCTGAATTTAAAGAACACAGGGGCTTCTGGGAGCATCCCGCTGGTTCGTAGGAGTCGGAGAGGTGGCGGCTGCGGTTGGCTCCTAAACCTTTCATGGCGGCAGAAGGTGTCGTCTTCAAAACATGTCTCCAGTCGGTGCCGTCCTACAGACCTGAACGTCTCATCCTGTCAAGGAGAGAGAGACACAGACACAGTCAACATGAGGGTCTGGGTTCAGTACAGTGACTGATCTGAGAATGAAGTCACCGACTCAACTTCAACTGGGTTTGAATAAAATGATGTGAAGTCACCGACTCTCACTTCAACTGGGTTTGAATAAAATGATGAATAAAAGTTTATTTTTAAGACACCAAACGCTGTAGAAGAAACAAATATTTAATGATATATAAAAGTATGTTACATATATTTGTGTGTGTGTGTATTTTCTGTCATACACCCAACACATTAACCCTTATGGTCACATCTACACTAGGTTTCCCGCCTCAAACCACCAGATGGCGCACCAGCAGCAATGGTACAGAAGGCAGAGAGTTGAAGAAACACATATAGAATTCAGAATTCTAAATAAATCCCAGGGATAAAACTTCAGAACGAAGCCAATGAAAACGCACTGACGTCACAGATGGTTGTTGTTTAAAGTATAACAAACAGAAAAGGTTTTTAAAAAAATTATATATATATATTTTTCCATGCAGTCTTTTCAGCTCACTGTGCCATTGTGACTGTGATGCACAGCCTGGAGCTTCACTGTCGACAACACTGCACAACAACAACAACAACGACAACAGCCTTCAGTGTTTGTCAGTAAAAACAGTGATTTACGAGACAATGACGTGCAGCCGCTTGTTGTGTTTTTACTGTTGTTGACAATCGATTCCTTCGTCTTCAGCGTCTCCTGGATGAATCAAATATGAACCAACTTCAGGTGTGAATGTGAATGTGAACGTGAATGGTTGTGTCTGCGTCCATGGTGTGGCGCTGTGTTCACCTGGTGTGTCTGCTGGGATTGGCTCCAGCCTCAGCTGTGACCACAGGTACAGGATCAACAGGTAAAAAATATATATATAATATATACAAGAAATCAAATATAAACGGTGTCAGATTTAATTCTTTGTGAATTTATTTAAAGAATAAAATGACATTTAAACCCAGGGTGGCTTTTGAACACTCCACGTTTTTGTAAAAAAAAAAAAGTATTTTCACTCCACTTCTTCCAGGACTTAACGTCTCCATCAGTGCCACACAGGAACAATCGGTGACTGGAACTTGTTCTCACAGCGTTGATAAAATTTCACGAGGAGATAAATGTTGCATGTTAACTACACACACTTCACCACTGCGTCGTTTCCAGGCCTTGCATCACTCTGACCTGGGTCATGGTCTCTGCTGTGTGAGAGCAGCTCAGCGACTGCATCACTGGTCCTGGACCAGCCACCGCATCACTGGTCAGGTACCGGTGGTGCGGTCGCTGGTCCGGCACCGGTGGTGCGGTCGCTGGTCAGGTACCGGTGGTGCGGTCGCTGGTCCGGCACCGGTGATGCGGTCGCTGGTCCGGTACCAGTGATTTACTGGTACCGGTACCAGTGATTTACTGGTACCGGTACCAGTGGTGCGGTCGCTGGTCCGGTACCAGTGATGCGGTCGCTGG